CGCTCCCGGTTCCCCTCACTCGCTCCCGGCTCCCTTCATTCGCTCCCAGCTCCCTTCACTCGCTCCCGGCTCCCCCTCACTCACTCCCGGCTCCCCTCACTCGCTCCCGGTTCCACTCACCGCCTCCCGGCTCCCTTCACTCGCTCCCGGCTCCCCTCACACGCTCCCGGTTCCCCCTCGCTCGCTCCCGGCTCCCCTCACTCGCTCCCGGTTCCCCCTCACTCGCTCCCGGCTCCCTTCACTCGCTCCCGGCTCCCCCTCACTCCCTCCCGGTTCTCCTCACTCGCTCCCGGCTCCCTTCACTCGCTCCCGGCTCCCCTCACTCGCTCCCGGTTCCACTCACCGCCTCCCGGTTCCCCTCACTCGCTCCCGGTTCCCCCTCACTCGCTCCCGGCTCCCCTCACTCGCTCCCGGTTCCCCCTCACTCGCTCCCGGCTCCCCCTGAGGCTCCTCTTTCCCGGCCGTCGGGTCCGCCTCACACGCTCTCGGTTCCTGGCCACCGTATCCCCCTCACATGCCCGCAGTTCCCCTCACACGCTCCCGGTTAGATCCCGGCGGATTCCCCTCACACGCCGTCGGTTCCCGACCTCCGGGAGCCCCTCACACTCCCGCAGTTCCCCTCACACGCTCCCGGTTCCCGGGTCCCCCTCCCAGTGCCGCCGCTCCGGGCGCTCCTCCCGCCGCGCCTCCCGGCCCGCTCCCGGCTCACCGCGGCGCGGCACGTAGCGCAGGCGGAACGGCTGCCGCTGCCACACGTAGGCGGCCAGGAGCGGGGCGAAGCGCAGCAGGGCCAGCTCAGCGCAGCGCCGCAGCAGCGCCTCGCCGCCCGGGCCCGCCGCCGCCGCCGCGAACAGGCGGTAGCGCACCGCGTCCTCGGGCAGCGCCGGCCGCCGCAGCGCCTCCATCGCGCCGCGGCCGCGCTCCGCCCCCGGCGAGCAGCGGCGCGATGGCGGCGGCGGGGCGGCGGCGCTGAGGATGATATCGCGATACGCGCGGAAACCGGTGCTGGCGTGAGTGGCTGCCGCTCCCCCGGGGCCCGGCACGGCCCCGAGCCCCATCGCGGTCCCGGTCGCGATCCCCCCGGCCCCGCTCCCGGGCCTGCCGCCCGCGCTCCCCGCTGCGCCAAGCAGGGCCCTGTGACGGCCCGGTCACCCCATGTCCCCGGCGGCAGATGGCTCCCGGGGTTCCCGAGCAGCGGTCTCGAGCAGACACCGGTGTGACAGAACGCGATTAAATCCCTGTAACTGGCTTTTTTTCTCCTGACCCAAGGGTTTAGTCAGTTCTGACTTACTCGGCTCGTTTACTCTTGTTCTATTTAATTCAACTCAATTAATCTACAGGGATAATGGCGTTGTCTCTGCTTTTAGGGAGCTGTAGGCCAGTTCACAGCATGTTAGGTTTAAGTTGAACTGATTTTGAAGCAAGACCTTTAACTCCATATTTATCCTAGAGTTAGTTTTCACACCTTAAACCTAGAGCTTTGGTGACAAGAATTAGCTTTGTAATAGTCATAAATGTGTGCACAGTCCTTGAAAAGAAGGAAAGAGAAACCTATAAAACTTACTGGGAACTCGGTCAATGTTTATTCTTGTAAGTTGTGCCAAGTCCCAGTGCTGTTTTTTCAGACAAGGACTCCCAAAACATGCCCTGAGGCATCACCCACTGCCAGAGCCAGGGGCTCAGGTGTGCTCAGCCACACCCACGGCTGAACACCTCGCCCAGACCTCCAGGTACTTGTCCTGATACCTCTGATCCAGCTGTTCTGATCCAGCTGGGCTTTGTTTACTGACACACTCGATCTCTCATTGTTTATTGTGGGCTGTTTTGCTTTCTTTTTGGTTTTGCTTTTGGCTCGACGTGCGCGTTTCAGGGAGTCGGGAATCCATAAGGGATCGGATGATCATGGGGATCCACGGACTGCTAGTCAGGGTTGGGCTGACACCTCCACAGAAGACAGCTCAGTCTTCTCCTGGGGCTATGACGTGAGTAGAACATAATCATCCAAGCCAAATCGAGCACAGAAAGACACTTGAAATACCACTGCAAAGACATGTTAGAACAAAAATGATTGGATCTGTCAAAAAATCATGGTAGTGATTATAGAAAGAATACCTTTTTTACTGCTTTCCATCTTTCAGTTTAAAACACATTAGGCTCATACTATTCTGTTAATATTCTGCATTTCCACTAAAAATGTTGGAAATGTAAATCATTTAGTGCATAATTGTATCTATAAATGCTGTTCCTGTGGAACCCCAGCCATGGCTGGATGACTTTGAGATACTTGGCGTGCGTTTATCAAACTTCTGCATCCTTGCATGTTTCTCAAAATGGAGTAAGCTCCTAAAACATTATTTTCATTTAGAAATGTTTGATTTATTATCCTTCCATCAAAGCCTAGTGTGGTGTTGCCTTCTGGTAGGTCAGATGGAGCTGTTTAGATATAAATGACCCCAGAACTGACCCCATTTTCTATCACATGTAACAAAGGGCCTGACCATCCCTCAGGGTCAGTGTTTCCCACCAGCCTGCATTGCTTTTTGTGTTGCTGTTGTTTATGGACACTGGAAGCAACAAATCCTCTATTGCATTAAAATATCACTGAATTTTATCCTTTCTGTTCTGATTCCTTTAAGTCTTGTAGCTTAATATCATAATAACGATATTTCAAAATGTTCTAATAGTTTTTATTGCTGTGTCAATGTAAGGTTTTTATGTGGCTGCCAACCGTCTTAAGACCAGGTTACATCATCTCTGGGAGAAAATGATTTAAAGTTAAAATCTTTTTCTGCAGTCCTGCTAAGCTTTAAACAAATAGTTGTGTTTTCCAATTATATTTTAAAAGATCAATTAAAAAAACCCTGCAAATGCTATTCATGAGGTATTTTCTTTCCTCTCCAGGAATTTGACAAAGCTGCCACACAACAAGTTCAGCAGATGTTCAGACAAATTGATGAGCTTCTATATGAGCAGAAAGAGAATGTTCATGTTGAGGGACTGCGGGAAGAATGCCACCAGTGGTCCTCCAGCTTTCCGCATCTCAGGTATTTTATTAATGATCTGATGCTGGTACCTTCACAAGGCTAGGGATGCACACAGCTGCTTTTAAAACAGGGGGCAGGGTGGGTTTATGCAATTATGCAGTAGACAGAGGAAAAAAGATCACCCTGGTGATGTGCCTGCCTGTCATTAATAAACATCCTTTTACCCCACATGTGGTTCTTTGAGAGAGGTTTGTTGCTATCTCAACTGACTTGCAGAGCAGAATTCTCTTAGAAAACTGAATGTCACCAGGAAAACTGCACAGCTTCCCAGGAGAAATTTTAGGATTTGCTGCTGTTCTTACAGCCTTCAATAATCGTACTGTGAAGGTTTTTTGCTGTATTTCTCCTTTGCTTTTGCCGTGGCAGGGTGGTGGGGAAGCAGGTGGTGACCCCCACAGATGAAGGGTATGGATGGTACTCGAGTTCCCCCTCGGGCAGTTTGGCTCCCTCCGATGTAAGTTCACCACAGGAAAAGGATTCTGATGAGTAAGTACCAGCAGTGAGCCTGGATCATGCCAAGGTGGGAAGGCAGGTTTGTTCTCTGCATCTTGAGCCTGAACATGCCAAGGCTGTGTGAGCCTTCCTGTTAGGCCGAGTTTTGAACACAGCACACTCTTTTTTTTTTTTTTTTTCTCCATTTTTAACTGAATTGAGTACACTTAGAATAGCAAGAACACATAGGTGTGCTTTTGCTGAGTAAATAGAAATATCTTTGCTGCTGCTTTCTTAAGAATATATGTGTACTGTAGCTGGTTTTATTATTAATAATCTGTTGAATTTGCCTAGGCTTTAAAAATTACAAAGCACTGTTAGTGCTGCTTTTATTATTTAATGCTTTAGAATGCTTTTTAATCAGCTTTGGATATTTTTTCCCTGAATTTTCAGGTATTTCAAGAATTAAAAGGTATCCAGACCAGAAGTTGTTACTGTAATGAATAATTGTTTGGCCTTGCTACTGCTTGCCCTTAACAACCATGCTTGTCTCTCAGTTATTTGAGGTGGAATAACAACTTATCTTTATTTCTGCTTTCTGAAAACTGTCACCTGTCCAGATTTAGTGTTTTGGGCAAGAAGGTGCCTCTTTTTGTTGCTCCTACTCAAAAAAAGTCCGACCCTTCCAAGCCTCCGACCTCGTGTTCCTCAGAGAGCGATGAAGGGGAAGAGGAAGTAATTCTCTCTGAAGGCATAGTGGAGGAATTCTTGGCTTTTGACCACAGAGATGTGTAGGTATTGAAGATTAAAATAGTGTCCTGGGGTTTCTGCAGTTAAGATACAGATACTTGATTAATTTATTTATCTTTTCTCTAGAGAGCTTTCAAAGGCCTGAGGTTGCCTGGGCACTGGGAATTTTCAAAACCTATTTCCTAGGACAATTTCTTTTGCTAAATTATGTTTAGGAATTTTTGGATAATTTTTCATGCTGTCCATTTTTGTGCTTGGTTTGAATAATTCATTCTATCATAACTAAGAGCCTGTGTAATAATGTGTGTTTGAACCCCATTTATTTTTTATACTAAGTCAAATTCACTGTTGTTACGAAACAGCAGAGCTTCTGTTTTGTACTGAAATGCTGGGTGCAATTGTGGATTTTTTTCAGTGGTAGTTTTAAGAACTAGAGTGGATTTTATGCTTGGCAAGAAACAATTACCACTATTTTTATCTTTTTACCCCTTTACATTATTCAGCACAGTATACATATAGTATGAACATGTGGCCTGGGTAAGAACTCTGGAGGGTGCTGTCAGTTCCTGACTACTTAATTAGTTTTAATAATTAAAGCCACTTATCTGCCTGAACCATTATAGTAAATTTGTTATGTTTCTTGGTTTTACCAGACTAGAGAGGACATTGCTGCAGCAAAAAATATCACTCTCTTGTCTTCAGCATTCTGTCTTGTCCTTAGATTTGGAGCCTAACAATGTGATGTAGAAATATCACTCTAACAACTAATTTTGATTTTTTTGACATGAATTTGATCTCATGGGTAAATTATTGTTCATTGGAGTATGATTTATAATCATTCTGTATAGGGAGACCAGGGAGAGTCAGTCATTTCTCACTGAGGTCAGTGGGAAAGCTGAAAGTAAATATAGTTTCTGACGCAGGTAATACTTACATTTTTACAGGGAGGAGGAGTTGCATGGGAGGAAAATGGCACTGTCCTCTGGCAGACAGAAATTGGGGTTTCCTCCTGTCTCTCCCTATTCCTGCATGAAGGATTCTGTGCTCACGTTTGTGTTTGATGATGTCTGGAGTGAAGTCCTGGTCTGCATGGAAGAATTGATCCTCAGACACTGGGAAGGGTCAGCCTCTGGTAAGGATTCATAGTGAAGGTGAGGGCTCAAAAGGGGATTTCAGCTAATTTTATAAAGATGCCATGGGAGAGTAATGTATTTGGGAATGATCTCTTCAGTGGAAATAAAAAGGTTATTTTGCTAACAGTGTGAAACATTTCTTCAAAAAACTTAGCAGAGCTTATCAGCCAAGGGAACTCTCACTAAAAAAATTTTGATTAATAGCACTGTCCATGACTAGCAGTGCCAGTATTGACAGGAATTCTGTTGCTTTGCACAGATGATGAGAAGAATATCATAACAGTGGAAACGCTGCGAGCAGATGCCATGAGCCCTTTGCAGCTGGATCCTCTGCCAGCACTGTTACCTCGGGTGCCACACGCTAAGATGCCCTCGGTGACGCCAAATCTGGTAAGGATTTTTAGCCAGCTGTTGTTTAGTGTGGGGATGAATCACAGTGTTACCTCAGCAGAAAGAGTGGTTGTGTTTAGATAAATAAATGGTTTGGACTTTGTGTGAACGCTGGCTGTCCTTTCTGACACTTGAGTTCTGTTATTCCTCAGCTGGAAGTTTTAATTCTTACTTC